CTGATCATGTACGTCATTTAAGAGTGGATTGTGCATGCAATGCTAGTAATGTGCACTGTCAGTATAGGGTCAATACAATTGTACTAAAATTGGAGTACTACTATAGAAAATTAGGTCATTAAGTCAAATTGAATAATAAACAAGCCTTTAACGAGAAAACAACCTTTCATAATTGCCTCGAGAACGACTTTACCTAGCCTGACACTATTAAAGATATACAGCATGTTTTATTTAAATGTGTTTGAATATGTAATTGGAAGATTTTTTTAAATAACCATTATCCGGTAAACAAGAACACTACCCAAATCATATGAAATAATTGTCAACGCGTTATGTTACCAGTTTTATTTGTGAATTTATAACAGTGGGGGGTCTGGTCAGCTTTTACACCAATAGGAAGCTCTATAGTATTATGTAACGAGGTTATCTTTAAGGTGGATATGTTGCTTAAACGCGACGGACAGAAATCTGTTGTGTGGCTTGACTTGCCAAATTTTGCAAGAAGTAGAGAGTCCAGCAGTTTAGAAAGAGTTTAGTGATATGCACACAGACAAAAGAATCAAATAACTATACGAAAATTAACAAATTACAGGTCTTTCGTCTTCTTATATGATTGCTTTAAGAGCCATTCTGAGATGTCTTTACATTGGTACGTATTTGGACTATATAGGGACAAAATTTTGTGCAATTTTTAAACATGTAGTCCCCTAGAAAAATAAACAACTTACGGCTAACTGAAGTTTAAACGTGCTATGATACGACCTCCAAACGATTATGGCGAGTATTATCAGAGGTGTAGTAAGTTTGAGAGTGCTGTCTCAGAACGGTAGCTTTCACAAACAGTTGCCTTACTGTGAGAACTTGGCAAATTTCATAAAGCCTTTCACGCACGCTCAATCTGCAAGGTGTGAGATTTAGCTGCAACACCCCATGTGGTAATGCAATAATTTAAGATGGATTGACATAGACCCGTATAGACTATTTTCAAGACATCAGCATCAGCGCGGCATCGTCGGCTGCTGGTATGGTCGCCGACGTCCTCTACGCTCGGGATCGGCCATCAATAAAGATACCTAGATATTTAAAAGAAGTAAATTTTTCGTAAGGTTTAGCCACCGTTTGCAATGTAAGCTCACAAAAACATGTTTTTTACGACTTCACACTACAGATCTTTGAAATTTTCGGATTCCCTCTACTATAATATGCTTATATACATGTAAATTCTTGAATCACTCTCTCTGTTGGTAAAACCCCCATTGAAATCCGTTGCGAGGTTTGAAAGATCTAAGAAAAAAAGCGATTACTTTTTTTTTGTTTAAAGATTTGTACTTTTAATATTTATTATAATCTATCTAATCTAAATCTAATCTAATCTAATCCCACAATTAGCATGGAGAAGAAAATCGTTGTATCCTATATTCTATATTTTTTCAAACACCATAAACATTTTCAATCCATTTTTATGATTGTTTAGGAATAAGTTACCGATTTATTTTAGAAATTAAGGAGTGGTTACTTGTAATTGAAGACATTGTTAACATGTTCTGTCGATAATTTATTGTGTCGCTAAACTAATTATGTACCTATTCTAGAACATTTCGAGGTAAATAAACCCATTATCATCTCAGCCAACAACAGGTGACAAACAAAATGGTTACTTACACACGAATGTTAAGTGAGATAATGTCATTATTGTTCATAATATTTATTTTAAATATTTACTTAATCTAGAAAAGAAAACAAAATATTTATTTAAAAATTAAATTACTGTTTAAAACCAAACCAAGAAAGTTTAAATCGACTGTTAGGTATAAATTCGACTGAAACGGACTTTGAATAAATTCGACTGCTCTGTTGATCTAAGAAGAATCACTAACCACAGTGATTCTGTAAAACGAGAGATTACTTGCTTTATTAAAATTAAACCTGTAGCAATGATTGTAAAATTACAATTATTGTAAATGACTTGTTTTATTATAACATAGTAGAATTAGAAGTAAGCATACTACTAAAGCGGCAATGGGCTTGCCACACCTGCCGAAGAACAGATGGACGCTGGAGGAAACGTTTCTCAGAGTGAAGACCGCCCAGTAGGATTCCCACAGGCCAGATAGACTGATGACCCGAAAAAGGTAGTTTAGATGCTAAAAGTTAAGAATATAGAGCTATGGCGTACGTTGAGAGAGGTCTGCTTTCAGCAGTAGAATGCAATAGGTTGATTTATTGGTTGAAAGAATATAAACCTAGACTGTGTTTACAAATGCAAAGGAATGATAGACTTTTGTTAATTTAGCGGGAGTTTCACGCGCATAATATTACTTTACTACTTTAGTGTTCTCGAGTTCAAATACACAAAACACGTGATTCTATTTAGATGATTTATGTTTGTGTATATGTGTACCACACATTAATACAGTCTACCTTAACAGACGTTCAATCTTCGTGCCAAAACTAAATACGTTTTCCACAATTCAAATCACGTGCTTTTTAGGTACTAACGACTACTCAATTTAACTCCACTAGTGACATCATTGTTAAATGTATTGTGAGTAGATTTATATGAAGATCTTGTTTTTAAGACGATCATAAGACTAGTCTTCATGTATGGCAGCAAAACCTGGTCCATAACATAGAAAAACGTGAGAAGTGATGCTGAGATGACCATGCTGTGGTGGATGTGCGGTGTAACCAGATTAAATACGAAAGAAAGCAGGCTGCGATCGTATTTGTCGTCGTCGTCAAATCGAATGACTTTGATTATTTCTTGGTAATCGAGTAAAATAAATACCAGACCGCATCAACTACTAAATCCTATAGGAAAATTTACAGTCGGTAGGTTGTAGATTGATTGTTATAAATAACTAATATATTATACTGTAGTACACTAACTTACCTTTTTTACCTGTCTAAGTAAACATCTAATTCTGTATAAATGTAGATATAGAACTAGATATTTACTAAGACAGGTAAAACCTTCAGATAGCTTTAAAGCAATTTTGACTCTATAGTCAAGCATGCTCTAAAGCTCCCTGAAGGAGTCATTTGATCGGAATATCCAAATTCACGTATTACGCTAATACCATCCATAAAAACCAAAATACATTTAACGTACCAAAAGCTGCATGAAAGTCCTAATGACCGTAGCCAAATTGCTACGCAGTGACGTAGATCAGACGTAGCACGGTTGCGCAAGAGTTTATAATTTGAATGTATGCTTGCTTTAATTGCTTGCTTGCGATGTGATTAAACTAGCAGACTATTAAGTTGTTTATAAGTAATAGAGGTCAAACGGGTAGATGTGTTACCTGATAATAAGTGACTTCCACCGCCCATTAATACTTGTAATTCAAGAGATACCATTGCGTTCCAGCCCCCTCTCTAGTATTAATAGGGAAGGAGGGCCTCTTGTAACTGCACTCACTCGTAGTATATACTTTTGCTTGCCGTTTTCTCTGTGAGGCCATGGTGTGAATACAGGTAGTTGGAGCCTTAAAAATACAACAACAGTCTTTCTGCAGAACTTCAATATCGCCTACTTGGGTGCGTATAGACTTAAAGCCGATACCAACCTAGTTTAGGAGAAAGGCTCGGAGAGAGAAGTATTTACACTGTTTGTGAGCTTACTGCCAAATCTCACATTACTCCTAACATGGAATACGGGCTTACCTTACGTCTCCTAAAGTTAGTGATACATACATTTTTTCTGTTATTTTATAATACAATGAAGTGTAATATGACTGGCCTGTCCTAGTGGTCAGCGATCTCGACTCCTAAACCAGAGGTCGGGGGTGCCATTCCACAAGTTAAATATTATGTAATGATGATTTGTTCTGTATCTGGGAATAATTAATATGTAAATTTTTATTAATATATTTATGTTTTGCAGCAGTCTGGTTACCATAGTATAGGTTTAGTCTAGTTTAGGATCAGATAGCCATATGTAAGACATGTCATAAAGATAAGAAATGGACTTTAAAAATCTTTAATATAGGTAAAAATCAATTATAATATTGTAACCTTTAAAGCTAAATGTAAAATTATTTTATTGGACACGTGAAATAAATACGTAATGAAGTCAATAATACTTATTCGTTAAGTGTTGTCTGTCACTCAAAGGAGGTAAACTTAAGTATTTCGGGGTCAACCTCGAAAAATAAACACAAATAAAATTTGTAATATCCTCAAAAAGGTCGCGTCAGAATAATCTGCATACACGATGCGAACTACATACATATAGAGGAAGATTGGAAGAAACGCATCAACATGTACTACGAGTAAATGAAGGTTTTTGTTGTTGCATGCTCTAGATTGAAAGAGGCGTAAGTCGTGCCAAGCCGTCAGCCAAACCGGAAAACTACTATTTGATAACTCCGGGCTTAGCTCTTATCTAAGAATGTATCAAGGTAGACAGATTGTGTTACGGTTGCTAAACTACGTTATGAGATTTCCTGAATACTTCATAATTATGAAAGATAGATGGTTACAGTTACGTTTAGGTATATCCGATAAGTTTCAGGCCCTATACGGGCTGTGAATCAAGCGGTAAATTCGGTTGATTCTTTTTAAAAATTAAGTCTAATATCAGTAGTAAGTAAATCTGTATTTTCATGTATATTTTTATTTATTACTTTAACCTATATTTTATATGGGAACCCTAATAAAAGCAATCTTGATTAAAAAAACAAAAAGTGTGGGCAACTAAATTAAGGCTTGGCCAACAGAGGCTTCATCGGCCTACAAGTTTAATTAAAGAACGAAAGCTTTGTCGCATGAGAAAATCATCGTTAAATGGCGCGGAAAACTCAGTTCCCGCCAGTTCGCGCGCAAACGCAGGCAAGCAAGTACGTGCGCCGATAACATGCGCGGGAAATAGATCGAAACAATAATAACTGGTGCTTTTACGTTTAAAAAATAATGTGATAAATATATATAAGTGAAATTACTCTGTGATATTGTGTAATTGACTTTTCGAAATATTTAGCTAAAGTGCATTCTTTAAAATGGCGTCCGAAAAGTGAGTACTTCTATTTATTTCTCAACCACATAATCATATTATACCTACAGAACATCAAATCAGCAAGTTTATATTTATAATGCTATGAAAAAAATATTTTAGTGTGTTTACTTATGCTAATTAATATTTTAAAACATTGCATACATTTTAAAATAGGATTTGAAGTTATTTTCTTGTTTTTGGTTACTGATAATGTATTGAACACTGTACATAAATGTATTTCAAGTAGTAAAGTAATGTAACGACTAAAGCTAAAAGCTAAATAAACATTACGACAAAATATTTGCTTTTCACCCATGTCAGTTTGATTAAATGTAATTATTTACTAAACTTTTCGTGCGTTATCACTTCAATATGTTTATAGGAATTTTTACTTTCTGAAACAGTTTCTTTCAAATTTGATTGTTAATTTTTTGACCAGAAAAGTTAGATTTATAGAGTAGATCAGGTAAGACGTATTAAGGTATTTAACAAATTCAAATAATTAAGAGTTATCAAATTGATGCAAATACCTACCGTTTTCTAACTAAGGCATGTGTTGACTATCTCTAAATATATTAAGTATGCACTGATATTCTGACTCATTTAATAGACGTTTTTCAAATTATTTTATTAGGTACTAAAATCATTTGTATTTCTGGAGCAAAATTCTACAATTAATGACATACTTCTTAGTATCGGTTTTGTTATTAAAAATACATAATGAGGTTTAATTGAAATAATATGACTATTCAGGATATATACCAAATCAAAATAAATTCACACATCTCACACACGACAGTCTGATACCAAACTAGGCAGAGCTATAGCAACCAGACCACTGATAAACAGATAAATTATTATACGCAGAATTTGAGCAGTCAGTTATTTCGAATTTAGAATATATTGAATTTCGAGATGACGGTCAATGCAATTTAAACCTCATTGCCGTTGCCAATGTAGAAAAATAATAATTCTAAATACCTATGACCTTTTACGAAGATTTTCTTAAAAGTATCTCGGATGGCTGAAAAAAATTTATTGAGGCATTGTCATTTTGACTTCTATAATAGAAAAAAAAATACTAGCAAACTAACTAGTCGCAATATTGTTTAAATCTGACTGACCTATATTTTTATATGTAATCTTTAGTTTGGACCCTTTTTATACAGGACTGGTGAATCCTTAGTACCTTTATACATAGATCGAAAAAAAGTAAATATCATTTAAAAGTCACATTCACGTGTAACTTCTTGTTGGAAGAAATAAGAGGCCGAATTTCTACTCGGCCTTGTTTCGGTTCGCTTATTTTCTCTATCTAAAATTTGGCAGTGACTGATAAATATTTTAAACAGGAAAGACAGTTTTAAAAATAATTTTGTATGTTAGCGTTTTGCTAATTCATTTGTGGATTGAAACCTACTCAACCTCGGGCTGTCAACTAAACGTTAGCAAAAGCTAAAAATAAATAAAAATAAATTACAAAACAAATACAACAATTAAAGACGTGTGCTCCGGAGTTGGCACCGGTTTTAACGCGCCTTTTTCAACTCTCCTACTCCCAAGGCGCCGTCCGGAACTCCAGGAAGATAGCGTTTGTGCACCCGATCCCTAGAAAAGGTGACCGCTTTGACCCGTCCTACTACAGGCCTATAGCCATAACTCCCTTGTACTCTAAGATTATGGAATCCATAATCAACTCATCTCTACCTAACGCCAAGGGGCGTTATACGTAGAGATGTGGCTTCACTCTGCATTCTCTATCGCATATATCGTGAGGAGTGCTCCGAGGAATTGTTCGGACTAATACCGGCCGCAACTTGCCGCCATCGTTCCACACGGCAAAATTTTCATCCCCGTCACCTAGATAGTTGGCGCTCCACTACTGTGTTCTTTTCGAGACACTTTTTGCCTCGCACAACCAATCTGTGGAACGGGTTATCGTCTGCGATATTTCGGGACCGATACGACCTTCAAGCCTTCAAGAAAAGAGCCTATTCTTTCCTAAAAAGCCGTACGATTTTACAGTATTTAACTATTTATTTGACTACTGATTTGTAATAAAACGTCATAAATAACACTTTAGAACCTAGATGTTATATCGTGTATTGGACAACCTTTAGGAATGATTAGCAACGTCTACAAATTCTATAAAAATAACCATATAAATAGTTTAATAATCCATGTCTGTGTTCTCCATGGGGTAAGTAGAGTTAGGAGTTCTAGGCTGCCAACTATGATCTGATTCTACTAAAGTAGTCTGATTTTAGTATTCAGATGATTCAATTGTGAAAATTTTAAAAGGGAAAATAGATACGAAAATATCATACATTGCGCGGAACCCAAATAAAGTTCGAAAAGGGTAATCAGATGATGATGTTAATGAGAGACGAAAACAAAGCAATGGATGGATTGGGAAATGTGCGTAAAAGCTTGACTTGTAATTGTAATAAAAAAAACGAGTGTGCTTTAGACCACAAGACTGAAGTAAAACTTCTTGTCAATGAGAGAAAGAGAGAAAGAAAATGTGTGCTCGTACCTCTCTCTCTTGCCCCTACAGTAATATACGAAACGAAACTCTCTTTCTATTTTCACTAACTTATATCTCCCTCGAACTTCCGTTTGCCTCGTTCCGTTTCCGTTTATCACACTTTTCGTAACGCTCTCGTCACGCATTCACCAGCTTACTCCCCAAGCGTCAACTCAAGCGTGCGTAAAGAAGTTTTACTTAAAAAAAATCTTTGTCTTGCCTGAAATGCCTGCTAAATACCAAAGGAGTTCTTAAAGATTTCTTTATTCAATATAACATAGGTACCCATGTTATGTCAGTTTATTGATTCAACGATTCAACTTATCAAGTAAAAATAACCATCGTCGTCGTAGTGGTTATTTTTATTTGATAAGTTATTGTAAGCGGGATATTTAACGTGTTCATTTTCGAGATTTCGTTTTCGATATTTTGGCTCTGTGACAAGCGCCATGATCACTACCAGAAACCGGAATAAATTAATTCATTTACTTAGTTATGACGCGTTTATCAATTAAAATAATTAAATGCATATATACCAACCATCAACACAAAAAAATACACAAATGAAGATAAAATACAAATCAAAACAAAAATCATCGCAATTACAGAATCGCAAGCCTACTAACATTATATTTGTCATCCATCCACAAACAAATCACAGTCGGGAATATCACGCAGGAGAGCGTTGAGTGCAGAAAGAGTGCGGTGCATGGGTGACAGCGCACCACGGTACGACATGATGGTACGGCAAACAACATGTGAGCCCGATTGGGAAGTCAGTTATTGAGCACAAAAAGTCGACACAATTCATCATGAAGGTTTAATGTCATCATGATGGTGATGATACATCAACATTCTCTCTAAAATGTTTACACATAATTGCAAGTTGGTGCATCTCCCGTCTTACTTACAATGAATTATAGCCTAGACAACCGAGATTTTTTTTTTAATAATACCTCAGGTAGGCTTTTGTATTGTTTCAAGTAAAAGAGCGTATGTGCTCTCGTGTGGATTCCACACACACAGCACTTTCCAGCTTGCAGCGAACCAATGTGCTATAAATTAGTCTTATGTTACTAAACTCTCGAGAATTTCTTAGGATGAAACCCAAGCGTCCAAAAGATTGCTTTGCTAGTGTAATTATGTGGTCGTAGAACGTTAGTTTACGGTCAAATGTGACACCCAAGTCCTTTATGGAGGTTGAACGGCTTACGCTATTCCAAATATGGTTCTTATTCAAAAATAGGTACATCCTTAATTTTATACCCTTTCCAATCGTTTATTTAACTTTTGACAGCTCTAATACTTAATCAAATAGTGGTACCCTGACCCGTTACCGATCGATTTTATTCACGAAGAAGTTTTAATCGATTTAACACACTCATTATTTTATCGATAATATCTATAATGTGATATAGTGTGAATTTGAGTTTAGTTAGTGACGTTTTAATGTGATACAGTAGTGTTTACCGACGATATCTGAAGTGACGATTTATGACATCGTGAACCACTGTATAATTTCTTATGATATACATAAAAAATATTAATAGCAAGCTTTAAGTTTGTATAGTACATATTTTAATGAAATACGTTGTACCCAATACATTGTATAGTAATTATCATATTGACATTAAAAATCTATTTGTAGAAAGATTTTCCTGAAGTTGCACGTTCTATAGAGAGATATAGATACATTCAATTGAATAATCACTAAATTTGGTATACAAGGACTTCCAATAATGTACCTTAATTAGTTTAAGTGTAGTGTAATGGAAGTCAGATAGTAATCTTTAAGTTTATTAAATACTTGTAGATCATCTGGGTATCCTTAATTGTTGAAGAAATAGATTTTTTTTTTACAAATTTACTTATATATTGGTGTGAAACTCCGTCTTGCACATGACTTTAGTTAAGCTGGAAGATTAACCAGATTCTAGCAATATTAGACTCATTTTACTAGAAACATTTAAAAATACTGTAAATAATAAAAAAACGGATATTGCCGCGTTTCTTCTAGTCGATTATAGGCATCAGGCAAATAAGTCACAAAAATTGTTGGATTCGTATTTGGTTTAAAACCATTCTTATTTTTATTAAAGTTGTCATTATTCTTGTCCAGTTTTGGGTAATAAGATTTATATATACATAACCAATACAGCGCTATCAAGACGGTCTACTATGGGTAGAGACATGGATCTATATAAATAGAACATGATTTGTAAATGTAAGAACATACAATTTATAAATATTATAGAATTACTAAAATATTATCAATTCTGCATACAAAATTAAGCTTAAATTGGTGATAGAGATAGTCCAGTTTAATTTTAAATGTTACATCGAATATTTTAAAAGCATGTGTGTCCTAAATTTTAAGTATGTCCGGATTAGTGTCTGTATGTCTTATTCTATATTTAGCTGACCCAGACATATGGGTGCAATAATATATTGGTACTGCGTATTTTTAACCGATTTCAAAAACACAAAAGAG